AAAATCTTGCTCATCATAAATCTGCCTATTTTTAATACACGTCAAGCTTTTGAAGTTTCAAACCAAAACCTTACTTGAATAAAACAACAAAAAACAATGCAAATAGGCAAAGGACTTTTTATAATTGTATTTCTTAGGACTATTGTGACTTAATGCCTGTTCAATTCTTGAATTATAGATGAAAAACAAACAAAGAAACCCATGGAAGTGTTTCTTTTGAAATCTCCTTTTACACAACATGTGAAAAATATGGCAATTGAGTCATTTTCTTATTCTTTATAATAGATGTCAGTGTCTGCCTTTAACTTCCAAAAGGCTATATTCAATATATAGGAATTTAAAAAAAAATAATAAACTTGTAATGAAAATAACTTACAAACAGGAAAGTGCACAAGTCCTAAGGAAACAGCTCAACGAATCATTACAAAGGGACCGAGACAGGATAAACACCATACAGATCAAGAAACAGGACATTCCCAACACCCTAGACGTCACCTCCCCAACGTAATTTTGAGCTACATATATTCTTTCATAGAAACAATATTATTGATAGTAGTAAGTGCCCAGATCAGCCCACAAATGCCAAAAATGTACCTGGACTCTGGCAAAATGGCATCATATCAATATCAATGTTTCCATGGGGAAATGCATTTTTCAGCTCCAAATAGTGATGCCAGGGAACTTGCCCCAGACTCGCCGCTGTCCTTGAACCTCAAGGGCTCCCACTGTAGGGATTCTGGGTAGGTGGAGGGGAGGAGGAGCTATGCCAGGGTCTCAGTAATCAGTTGCCCATCTCACCAGTTTCAGGACCCAAACAAGAGAAAGTGGCGCTTTAGCCAGACATGTGCCAAGTATTTTATTTTCTTTGTTTTGTTTTTGTTTTTGTTTTTATTTGAGACAGGCTCTCCCTCCATTGCCCTGAGTAGAGTGTCGTGGCATCAGCCTCGCTCACAGCAACCTCAAACTCTTGGGCTCAAGCGATCCTGCTGCCTCAGCCTCCCAAGTAGCTGGGACTACAGGCATGTGCCACCATGCCCAGCTAATTTTTCTGTTTTTAGTAGAGACGGGGTCTCGATCTTCCTCAGGCTGGTATTGAACTCCTGAGCTCAAGCAATCCTCCTGTCTCCGCTTCCCAGAGTGCTAGGATTACAGGTGTGAGCCACCACGCCCAGTCTGGAAAGTAATTTCGAAATATGTATGGAGACCTTTAAAAGTGTTTATATCTTATGCTCTACTAGTTCCACTTTAAAATTTTTTCCCGAGGCGCTGTCAGAGGTGTGGTCACAGACGTGTGTCCAGACACCATGGCAGAAGCACCAGCTCTGGGCCTGAGTGCCAGCTCTGCTACTTCCTAATTGTGCAATCTGGAACAAAAAATGTAGCCAACTTCTCTGTGCCTTCCTTTCCTCTTCTATTAAATGGTAATACTAGTAGGGTTGTTACAAAAATTAAATTAGTTAAGATGCATAAGGGCCTGTAATCCTAGCACTCTGGGAGGCCAAGTCGGGAGGATTGCTCAAGGTCAGGAGTTCGAAACCAGCCTGAGCAAGAGCGAGACTCCATCTCTACTATAAATAGAAAGAAATTAATTGGCCAACTAATATATATATATAGAAAAAATTAGCCGGGCATGGTGGCGCATGCCTGTAGTCCCCGCTACTCGGGAGGCTGAGGCAGAAGGATTGCTTGAGCCCAGGAGTTTAAGGTTGCTGTGAGCTAGGCTGACGCCACAGCACTCACTCTAGCCTGGGCAACAAAGCGAGACTCTGTCTCAAAAAAAACCAAAAAACAACAAAGATGCATAAGGAACTTGAAACAATGCCCATCATACTATTAGCAATCCAACAAATGTTAACTATTATTAACGATTATCACAAAAACATTCATCACATTCATCATTATTTATGATAGGAAAAAATTTTAAAACAAGTTAAATGACCAGAAATAGGAGAATGAAGACATCTACTCTTACATTAATACATTTATACAAAAGAATATAACACACCCTTGGGAGTATTAAAAATGTGGGCTCTAGAGCCTGAATGCCAGCCTGCCCCGGCCAGCTGTGTGGCCTGGGACAACTTTCTTACCCATCTGGGCCTCAGTTTCTTCATCTGAAAATGGAGACTAAGAATAATACCTATGTCACCAAGCTAACTGGCTCCTATACATAAAGCCCTTAGAACAGTTCCTGGCTCTCAGCCATCACTTAATCAGTGTTGGTCTCTTGGTTGACAGTTCACGTTTGGTAGCCGGACTCACTGGGGAGAGACCACGTGCACAAAGCTGCCCAGCCCGCGGCTGAGAAAGTGCCCTGGTAGCAGGAGGCAACCTAAGTTCCCCTTCGAATTAATAGAAGAAACGAGGGATGCCTGCACCCAGATGCTACGTGCGCCCCGTGAAGGAACTGGAGTTGTTCCACTGGGCACACCAGAACAGACTGCTTGATTACAAGAATAAAGGAAGGGAGGGGGAGAGGAGGGCCCCAAACAGCAACACCCACCACAGCAAGGGACAAGTCTTGGCGAGAGAAAGGAGCAGAAATGGTTTTCCTAATCTCCAGGCAGCAGCCACCTCTTTTCTTTTCCCTGCCTGTCCCCTCCATCCCCTATTCACTCTGCGTTTTTCAAAGACTAGAGGAAAGGGAATGGGAATGGGGAAGGAGATTTACGTCATTTTGGAGGGAAAGATGCGCAATAACAACTTCCACAGAAAGAACCGGGAGCTGCTCCCGTGTTACCCTCCCCTCGCTCCTGCAGGTCTTACTGGGGGTGTGGACACGGCTGGACGTGGTTTCTGTTCTCAAAGAGCAGGTTCACAACCAGCCTTGGAAATCGGGAGGGTATTGAGACGTTTCTCTGACCCAGGAACCCCAATTCCTGGAAAGGAGAGGGATCAGCTGTCACCATGCCCCTCTTCCACCTAGCCCTGTCCTGCCTGACCTCAGGTCCCCTCACTGACAGCAGCTCCCCCTCCCCAAGGACCCTGCCCTCAAAAGCCACACCCAGAAGCTTGAGACACCACCAGGCGTGTGTGCAGACGGTCGCTGTGCAACCCTGGCCGGCGTGGCCTGTGGGAGGCCTGTGTTCCCTGCCTACCCAGGCTGAGCCCCAGCCCCAGCCCCTGCCCCTCCCTCCTCAGTGACAGCTCAGACAGTGGCGCCCCTGGGTTTATTGCCTGTGTTGAGTGTGGGAAGAGAACTGCTTTTCTTTAGGTCTTGTCACTATCTTTCCTTCTCACACTTCTAACATGGCTTCTGGGGCTTCTAAGGCCACTGCTGCCTTACAGGGGTTTTTCCATTTTCTTTCTGTAATGGACCAGCATTAATTAATATTTATGCCCTCAGTGTGCCCAGAGCATAGGCAGTATCCAGAAAACACGGTAGCTATCCTCTCAGTGGTATATTTAAAGGGGCCACATTTCTAAGAAATCCCTGATTGCTGCTGTTTTCTTGTTTAAAATGCTCTTTAAAAAAAAAAAAAAAAGAATCATCCAATGAAGAGCACAGATTAAGAATCACCCATTTTGAGACCCCTAGTTCTTGTCTTTGGGTCCAGTGGATGAACCTGTGTGTCAGCGATACATCAAAAGGATTTGGCTCTACCAGGCATTCCTGGAAATGCAATTATTGCCCACTTGGGGACCCATGGAAGGAGATGGCCTTGCAGATTTCACAGGACTTTTGTAGTAGACAGACTCCTCAGCAGCATTTTGCTAGAAGCCTCTGTATTTATTTATTTATTTGAGACAGAGTCTCACTCTGTTGTCCGGGCTAGAGTGCCATGGGATCAGCCTAGCTCACAGCAACCTCAAACTCCTGGGCTCAAGCGATCCTCCTGCCTCAGCCTCCCAAGTAGCTGGGACTACAGGCATGTGCCACCATAATGTTTTCTATATATTTTTAGTTGGTCAATTAATTTCTTTCTATTTTTAGTAGAGGCAGGGTCTCACTCTTGCTCAGGCTGTTTTTGAACTCCTGACCTTGAGCAATCCTCCTGCCTTGGCCTCCCAGAGTGCTAGGATTACAGGCATGAGCCACTGCGCCCGGCCAAGCCTCTGTATTTAAAATGAAATCACCCAAAGTTGCAACTGAGAATATCTCAGAAAACTCTACACATTTGAAACTATTTTACGGTACATGGTTCAGAGGTCAGGTTACAGCTTCAAAGTTCAGTTTCACCTCTGTATTTTATCCTTCTGGGGGCCGGGGAGAAATCAGAGGGGGAAGATGCATCCCCTGAGAACTCCATCCTTGGAAGGTGTCCGGTGGGACTCAGTCTGGATATATTTAGCTTCCTAACACATCAAGAACCCACACTGAAAACTGCCCAACCCGGTTTACAGCGAGGCTTTGAGGGAGCTGGGGATTGAAGTGTCTTCCTCCCACACACTCCTTAAGGGATAGATATCATGTTTCAAGTTGGTTCCAGAGACTGGTGTGGAGAAGCAGGTCTGACGTTTGTGAAGTCAGAAATCGGCCCCCTGGCTCCTTGTGGTTTCTAGAGTCAATAGTTTGAGGAATTTCACTGAAGTTCTATTTGCACAAGAGTTGCAAAATGTGAAGTGCCCTGTTCCCTCCGTTCCAACTTGTTAAGCATGGTGCTAGAAAGCCACAGGTTAAGAGTGGGCAAATACACCTGGTAGTTAAAGACCTACATACCAGGAAATGCTCCCTTGAAAAGCTGAGCAGGCCTGGAGGTGTGATAAGGGATCCTATTCCCAGCTGGTGAGCTTGAAGTGAGAAGATGCATATCTAAACAGTTCCCAGGGGCTCCCTGCAGAGTGCAATTCCAGTTTAGTTTCCTTCTCCTCCTTCTTCTACTCCTCCTCCTCCTTCTTCTTAGAGACAGGGTCTCACTCTGTCACCAAGGCTGGAACTCCTGGGCTCAAGCAATCTCCTGGCCTCAGCCAGCCTCTGGAGTAGCTAAGACTACAGGTGTGTGCCATAATGCCTGGTAATTTCTTAATATTTTGTAAAGATAGGCATTGAGTTATGTTGCTCATGCTGGTCTTGAGCTACTGGCCTCAAAGGATCCTTCTGCCTTGGCCTTCCAGAGTGCTGGGATTATAAGAGTAAGCCAAGGCACCCGGCCCAGTTTTCTGATTATTCACATTGTATCTTTTTTGGTGGGTTCCTTTACTATCCCTTAGTCACAAAATAGCTTGCTAATTAAGTGTGGGAAGTGGTGTGGGTATGCCTCGTTTAAAAATTTAAGTAGACAAAACTCTTGAAATGCAAAGGATCATGAATGTAAACCAAATTGAGGTTCCATCGCTCTACTTAGGGAGAAGGCCTCAGCAGCGCCAAGGTCACCAGGCCCTCTGTTCCTTGCATACCTCGGGGGCCTGTCCCCCACTTTTCTTTATCCCATTGCATTAGATCCTTGGCAGAGAGGGCCTCAAGACTTTCCACAAAATGGGTCTGGCAAAGAAACGACTCCATTCTTGCCAATCTTCAAGAAGAAGGAATTGAGGCTGGACCTTCTAAATGGACACATTCCATCCTGTGTGAGGAGACGGTTTTCAGCACCCGCCCCTGCCCCAGATGGGATCCCAGCTCCAGACCTTGCCTTGCAGGCTGCTGCTTCTGTAACTCGGAACATTTCAATGTTCTCTGCTTGGAACCCTCTGGAGCATCACCTAGAAACTTCAATCAGAATGGATGGGGTGTTCCATCTGGGGGGGGGGGAAGGGATACCCCGTGTCAAGCACCATGGAGGGTGGACTACATGCTCTTTCAATCCTCAACATAGCCCAGTAAGGTAGACACTGCTGTTCCCATTTTCAGGTGAGGAAAACGAGAACTGGAGAGATTAAGTGACTTGCTCAAGGTCACTAGCAGTCACTAGAAACCAGGAGACCTGAGATTTAAGCTCAGCTCTGTTTGACCTGTGTTCTGGTTTTCGCACATCTATGGAATATTATATTTTTGATAAAAATTATTATGAAAATTTTAGGTAAATTTTAAATAAATGGGCACTTTCTTCTTATATAGAGTAACCAACTTGAATGTATACCTCCTTTGAAAAATAAGAAGCGGATTTTTCAAAGCACACATCGGACCCACCAATTATTCTTGGATGACCCTTCAACATGGACACATGTGATCAACAGGTGCTCAAGGGTGATTTCAAATCACGTTTAACTCATGCTCGTGAGTCCTTGGGAGGGGATTGCTATCAGATCTAGAGTCACAGATTAGGAGCTCGAATGGACTTTGAAGCTCGAGCCTCATGGACAGACCAGAAAACCCTGGCCTGGAGGGACACACTCATCCAGAGCCCAGAGGAAACCAGAAGTCCAGCTTGCTGCTGTCCCACCTGCTGGTTTTTCTACCACATTGCACCCTCTTACCACTTCTTTTCTCCAGAAACCAGAGAGACACTGGGCAAACTTGATCAGCACAGGACTGTCATTGGGTGCTGATGGAGTCATAACGAGAGTATTCACTGAATATTTGCCGTACACTGAGCACTGTATAAAGAACTTTCACTCATGACCACATTTAAGCCTCACAATGGTCCAGTGACTTAGATTGTCATCCGCACTATTTTGCAGAGGAAATTGAGGCATACGGGAGATTAGGAAACTTGCTCAATATTATACAAACAGCAAAAGTGAGGCTTGACTCCAGGTTTGTCTGAATCAAAGCTCTTGCTCTTAACCCTGTACTCTCCGGCTGCTGCCTCTGTCTTCCCACATGAGCCACCACCCATGTGGCGTAGGCCCACCAGCATGGCAGGGGCAGGTCCCAGAGGCCTCCCCCAGCTGGCCCTTCCCGGTATTTGGTTCATTTTACAGATAAGGGAACTGGGGCACAGAGAGGTTAAGTAACTTGTGCAAAGTTACACAGGCAAATGACTTGAAGTGGGAATCAGGATGGTGTGATACTATGATTTATGACAAATATATATTTGATCTTGTCCCTGTTTGCTGGCATACAGTTCCTAAAGCCCTTGGAATCTCTACAAAGTGACAATCTATCATTTTGTATGTTAATGATATGACTGATGGCTGGGGACTCCCAGATAGCAGCAGGAGGGGGGCTGGTGCCTGGAAATCCCACCTTGTGATTAGAGGGCTGGAACTTTCAGCCCTGCCCTCCCCACTCCACCCCTTCCAGGGAGTGAAAGGGGCTGGAGATCGACTCAATCACCAATGGCCAATGATTTAATCAGCCATGCCTGTGTAATGAAGTCTTCTTAAAAGCCCAAAGAACCCAGTTTAGAGAGCTTGCACACAGCTGAACACATGGAGGTGCTGGGAGGGTGGCGCCAAAGCTCTGCGACTCTCCCTCCACACCTCGCCCTACGAAGCTCTTGTAATATCCTTTATAATGAACCGGTAAACAAAAAGTGCTTCCCTGAGTTCTGTGAGCCACTCTAGCAAATGACTGAACCGAAGGAGGGGTCGTGAGCACCTCTGATTTGCAGCTGGCCGGTCAGAAGCACAGGTGACAAGCTGGGGCTTGCGGTTAGCATCTGAAGTGGGAGCAGGCTGGGAGGACCGAGCCCTTCACCGATAAGGTCTGCACTGACTCCAGTTAGTGTTGCAGTTAAACTGCAGGACACCCAGTCAGGTGGGAACGTGAGAAAGCCCTGAACTGAACCGAACAAAGCCCGATCTGTAAAGCCTGCGAATGACATATGCCTCTGCCCTCCCTGCAGAGCCCAAAGTTCACCACCAGAGCCCTAGGTTCCATTCCTTAATAACGAGACCACCTCACCAGCCAACTCATCCCTCCTTCTGGGGCTCTTGGACCACTCAAGGAGACCTTGACCTCACAAACTGCCTGGAGTTTTTACAGAACAGGCTCAAATATTCGTGTTGCTTTGAGTCAAATTCTTTTGAAAAATAACCTTTGTATTCTGACTTAATACCTCTAGGAGCCACAAACAGCACGGTGGCTTTAAACAAGGTGTACCTAGATAATGGATATAAATTCTGGGGATCTGGGAAGGTGGGGAGATTTATAAAGCACGTGATGTTTGAAAGTCCCATGGTTCACCTTTAGCTTAATCTAAAAATGAAACCCCACCTCTTCATTTTATCAGGCTCTTGTCAATATCAAACACAGACTGAGAGTTCGTGGACTTCACACCATGAGGCTAACCAGAATGGAAAGGACAAAATTCTCTGATCAAGTCTGCGATAGGTGATTCTTTTGTTCTGCAGGAGACAGGAATTTTTTTTTTTTTTTTTTTTTTTGAGGCAGGGTCTTGCTCTGTTGCCCAGGCTGGAGAGAGGTGGCACGATCACAGCTCAATACAGCTTCACACTCCTGGACTCAAGCGATCTTTCTGCCTCAGCCTCCCGAGTAGCTGGGACTACAGGCGTGACGCCACCATGCCCGGCTAATTTTTTAATGTATTGCTGAGATGGGGTCTCGCTGTGTTGCCCAGGCTGGGACGTTCCATCCCCTCCTGCCCCCCTAGTGGGTCTGAACGAGAGCACAGCTCCTCCTCGCCCCATGTGCACCCTCTGCGCTGTGACAGGTGTCTCACTCGGCACCAAATGGGCCATCCAAGACGAGGAGAGCAGGCGCCGAAGACCGGTGCCTGAGCACTTTCAATCTCACTCGTTCACATGCGGAAACCAGACAGCGGCCGAGGTGTGGCTGGCTGGGGCCCGTTCCGGGTCTCACCCGCACCCGCACCTCATGCGCCTCCGGTCCTGGCTGTGCTGACTTCTCACTTGGGTAGTCAAGGACAAATGCTCTCTTCACCTGGGGCTGCTCATTCATTCCACAGCCCCAGTGCAGATGGCAGTAGTAGTACCCTTTGAGCACTTTTATGGGGCAGTAAAACTTTACAGCCTGCCAACTCTAAACCATTCCCACATTTCTGAATAGAGCTCTTTATGACGTACAAGATTGCTATGGTTTGCCCTTTGAAAATACTAGCAGATATTAGAGCCTTTCAAACGGGCCCAGGGAGTGACACCGGCTGACAGCTGTCTTACAGAAACCCCACAGTGGCAGAGCTAAACTCCCGACCGTGAGCAGCTAAGTCAGAAAATGAAGCGGCGTTTGAGTCTCACAGCATCACTGGAAACGGGCTCATGCTTTCCCACATCCATGTGGCTTTGGTGTCAAATCCGCCTGCGCCTCTCCTGCCATGTTCTGCTTCCTTGCTGCTTTCCTGCCCAGGGTTCACAGAGCTCACTGTGACCTTTGTCAGCAGATCCCAGAAAGCCGGTCTTTTCCTTCAATCTTTAGCAGGTAACAAATTAAAACCAGGAAAAAGCTAGCAACTCAATCACAACTGGTTTCTCCCAGTGCCCCGGATTAACCAGCTGGCCCAGAAAAAGAATCATCCCACACTTGGAAGCGTCCTTACCCGAGTTCCATAACGGCCACCACTCCTGTGCACGGAAGACCAGCTCCAGGCTCCTCCGATCTGGGGACTCAGGTCCCTGCAGCCTGCAGACAATCGGGCCCATTATAGTCGTGGGGCTGCCGAGTTAAAGGGTGGCCCTCACTAAAATATAAACAGCTTGTCAACGCAAGCCAAAGGGGCGGGGCTGCAGTCTCAGGGGACAATGGGAGCCAATGATCAGCCTCCTTGGGCTCTGCTTGCTTAAGATATCGTGTTTCATTCTGAAGTTGAGGAGCCTGGAGTGAGAAACACTGAATAGGAAGGAGCAGAGTTCCCACCTCCCCAGCCTGAAAGGCTCCAAGTTGAAAAGTTTAATCGCTAACCACAGAAGACCAGTTTCAGGAAGGGTTTGTATACCGCACACATAATGACATGTATTGCTTTTATTTTATTTATTTTGTTTTAGAGACAGGGTCTTACTGTCGCTCTGGCTAGACTGCAGTGGCGTCAGCCTAGCTCACAGCAACCTCAAACTCGTGAGCTCAAGCAAGCCTCCCGCCTCAGCCTCCTGAGTAGCTGGGACTACAGGCACACATCACTTCTCCAGACCAATTTTTAAATTTTTATGTAGAAACAGAGTCTCTCACTATGTTGCCCAGGTTGGTCTCAAACACCTGGCCTCAAGGGATCCTCCTGCCTCAGCCTCCCAAAGTGCTGGGATCATAGGAGTGAGCCACCCTGCCAGGCCAATAATCTTGTGTTTTTAAAGCCACAGACATTTATGTTGCATTAGCTAGCTTTTGTCTTCCAGGGTTATAGTATTTGTGAGTTTTTCAAAGAACAAAGGCCCAGGAAGATGGTTTTATGAATTGCTTATTTTATTTTATATGCTATCTGATGAGAAGCACTGACCTCAATGAAATGCTTGATTTCATTGATCTGTCTTCAGCATCCAGAGAAATAGACTTACTTTATTCCCCGAGTCAGCAGAATGGATCACATTTGATGTGTCTGCGCTCATTTTATTTTTTCAGACATATTTTATCACATACAAAATAGAAGTTAGTTCAGTGTATTTGGAAGGAGATAGGACAGCCATGGCTTCTTTCGGTTACTTGACCTTAATGAGATTCTGTTTTGAAAGATACTAAACCAGACTAACCTTCTAATACCCTACGATAACAACCAAGAACCAGAAAATAAACTGTGGCTTTTTTTTGTTTATATGATTTCTAAATAATACACTAAGGTAAAAATAAAGTTAAGAGCTATTTGGTTGATTGTGTGGCACTGCACAAATCATAGGCATACAAACTGTGAGAAAAGTACAGTCATTACAGCTTGGAATGGTCTCATTATTTATAAAGGGAAACATAGTAGTTATCCCATTAATTATCAGAGAAAAATGTTCCAATATATTCATTTTCCACAAACTCTTTCTTAAGTCCTTCTGATGTTGATTATAAAAAAATAATGCAAAGATGCTGTCCTTTCTAATATGTTAGTTTGAAAATATTTATGATTCTACCACTGATGTTTAATTTATATTAAAGTAAAATTCCTCTCGACCCTCTCCCAAATGGTGTGTGAGGCCCTTTTAGTCCTTGTATTCTTCTTAGGATTCCAAAAGAGCTATTATATCTATACTCTCATGGATTTTGATTTTAAGGTACAAGTTACCTTCTAGAAAGGATCTAGTTTTCTTCTAAATTATTAGGATCCTGTCATTAAAAAAAAAAATCTTCAGGACACCAAAAGTATGAGCAACCAATGAAAAAATAGATAAATTAGACATTATCAAAATTAAAAACTTTTGTGCTTCAAAGGACATTATCAAGAAAGTGAAAAGACAACCTAGGGAATGGGAGAAAACATTTGCAAATCATATATCTGATAATGTTCTAATATCCAGAATATATATTTAAAAACTCTTACAATTCAACAGCAAAAAGACAACCCAATTTAAAAGTGGGCATGGGTCTTAAATAGACATTTCTCCAAAAATAATATATAAATGGCCAACAAGCACATGAAAAGGTGCTCAACATTAGTCATTAGGGAAATGCCAATCAAAAGCAGAATGAGGTACCCCTTTACACCTATTAGGATGGCTATAATTTAAAAAGAAAGAAAGAAAAGTAGCGAGTGTTGAGGGGTTATGAAGAAACTAGAACCTCTGTATATTGCTCATGGGAATGTAAAATGGTTCAGCTGCATGGGAAACAGTTCCATGTTCTTCAAAAAGTTAAACATAGAATTACCATATGACCCAGCAATTCCATTCCTGGGTATATACCCAAAAGAACTGAAAACAGGGATTCAAAGAAATATAATACATGTACATCCATGTTCATAGTGGCACTATTCATGATAGCCAAAAGGTTGGAAACAGCCCAAATGCCCACCAACAGGTGAACAGATGAACAAATCGTGGTATATACATATAATGAAATATTACTCAGTCATAAAAAGAGATGAAGTAGTACATGTTGAAGCATGTGCAACAAAGACGAATCCCTAAAACTTTATTCTAAGGAAAAAGCCAGACACAAAGTGTCACATATCGTGTGATCCCATTTACACGAAATGTCCAGAATAAATAAGCCCATAGACACAGAACACACATTGGTGGTTGCCAGAGGGTGTGGGAGAGAGGAATCGAGAGAAACTGCTTAATGGACATGGGGCTTTATTTTGCAGTGATGGAAATGTTTTGGAATTAGGTAGCGGTGGTGGTTGCATAATAAATGCTACTGTATTCACTTTAAAATGGTTGATTTTATGTTACATAAATTTCATTTCAATCAATGGAAAAAAGTATTGTTAAAACTTCAGTACTTTCTGGGTTCAATGGGAACCTTTCTTAAAAAGTCACCCCACAAGTTTACTAAAGAGTTTTTAAAAGAGAGTTTATTAAATTCATTCATTCATTATATTTATGCATTGCTCAGCATTGGTTAAGCCCCAGGCACTGTGCGCAGCTAGGTGCCAGGGACCCCTTGGCACTCTCCCTGCCACAGCAAGGAAGGACAGGACCATCCCATGGGGAAAGGAACGCAGTGGTGAGCAGGATGACAGAATTAACCTTTGGTGAGTGGCTGCCACGTGCTAGGTGGTCTCATGCTTGATCCATTTAATACTCAAAACCACTTGGGGTGGCAGAGGTAGGAATCAGTATTCCCATTTTATAGATAAGGAAACTGAGAATCAGAGAGTTTAACTAACTTCCCAGAGTCGCCCTGCCTGCAGGACATGAAGGCAAGTTCTTTCTGTTCCACACGCCGCTCTTGAGCAGAGGTTGGGAAGAACTGAGTTAATGGGAAAATGCTATTTTCCGGGCAAAAGGGAAAATAAGATGACAGACTAAAATTTATTAAAAAGCATTTAGACATCAAAAAGAACATTGTGACTCTCTTTCTAGTGGGATGAATATGCAAATGGGGGAAAATCAAACCAATTGTCAAACTTTTACTCAGAAAGTATCATTTTCCAAAATAACCAAAGAACTTCAGAAAACTGAAGGATTTTCTAAGTAATCTGACCAGATACCCTCATTTTTCAGACAGGGAAACAAATGCCTTGCAAAATTAACTGACTCCCCCTAAGTTATTAACATATGGCAAGACAGTAGCAGAACCAGGTTAGGACCCAAGTCTCTTACTCCCAGTTCAAGGTTAATTCCATAATACCATACACCTAAAAATAAGAAATTAATCCTAGATTAATCTTTTACTAAATACCTCTCAAATTCTCTACCTCTTCCTAGTCTTAGTAGACATAATTTTTACCCTCTATAAACTCTGGGTGTGATGATCTACCAAGTATGTTTGGCATTCTCAGTGACTTTACTGTTTCTTTCATCATATGTTTTATTAAAAGTTAATCAAGAAGAGAGAGATTCACAGGTTATAATCTGAGAAGGACTGTATTTGACCTCAGTTCATTTTAACATAGGTAAACCCCTTGGAAGGTTGGAATAGGAAACAAAACAAAGAGGAAGAGGGGACTTTGAAAACATGGAAAGAAGAGTTTGCTAGGACTTTCATGGATAAAACACAACTATGTGAGGCAGAAACTCTGACAAAGCTGTTTCACACATTCCTGGAGACTATTTCTTTCCTGACCATCATATCCCTTGGCATTGGCTTATTGTTCTTATTAAAAATAATACACAAAATAATCACAGAGGCACATGCGTGCTCTTTTAAAAGTCTGGGAGATGACATAACTTCTTTCTACATTTCAAACCATTTGATTATGCAATTCAGAAAATTGCTATATGCCCTTTGAGAATAGTCATCATCTAATTAAAATTTTACCCTTGGTCCAAAACAGCTACCTCTTAGTTGCCCAACTCTTGGCAACCCAAGCTTCACTGAACCCTTCTAAAGAGCTGAAGCTCCAATTAACTGACTTAGCTCAACATTCCATACTGCATTCATACCAAGTCCCTGATTTGACAATATACAAAACCCTGTACCAAAGGGAAAACATTAAATTGTCTACTGGTATTTATTTAAAAAGTGATATACACATAAAACTACATTCAAATGTCAAGACACCATGTAATAATATGGTTAATGGAATGGGGTGAAATTGCACCAGAGGCCCTTTGGATAATACATGGATGAATGAATGGTCAGACTCCTTAAGTGTTCTCAGATGATTCTGGAAATTACAAACTTCTAAGCTTAAATTACCTGTTTTCAAATCCTTTATTTTCTTTTTTAAGGAAATAAAAAGGATGCTGTCTTAGTTCATTCAGGATGCTATAATAAAATAACCATAAACTGAGTGGCTTATAAACAACAGAAATTTATGTCTTACAGTTCTGGAAGCTGGGAGTCCAAGGTCAAGGTGCTGGCAGATTCCATGTCTGGTGAGAGCCCTCTTCCGCATTGATTGACACCTGTCTTTTTGTCCTCATATGGTGGAAGGAGCAAAGGAGATCTTGGGTCTCTTTTGTAAGGGCACCAATCCCATTCATGACGGCTCTGGCCTCATGACCTAATCACCTCCCAAAGGCCCTGCTTCCTACTAGGATTTCAACATAGGAATCTCAGGCAGACACAGTCAGTCCATAGCAAATGTACAGGCAGCATGACTTGATAAAGAGGAGGAGCTGGAGAATTAACCTTCGGTGACATTGAAGGACTCGGTGGATGGAAGGAACAGAGCTACAATCTTTTCACTTTGACAAAGCTTTTGATTTTGTTCTGCTTAGCTGTTTCTCGATGCATTGTAAATTATGAATAAAAATTACTCTTATGTCAGCTTACAACCTTTTAAAGAGGTGAAATGTTCTGAACTCGTTCCATTAAACTTCATAACTAATTATGTAGACGTTCCACATTTATTATTCTAAATGATGTCTTTGTCTGCTCTGAGAAAGAATGTGATGATAAGGCCTCAAGTTTCATATGCAGTTAAGCTGTGAAGAGGACTCTGCTAACCACACATCAATATGGCATGTGCTTTTGTTTTTCCAACTATGCTGATTTTTTTTTTACAAGCTTCCTATAGTTTTTTACTCTCTCCCCATATGGCCAATGGCGCACATTTGCAAAATGATGCCTAAGGTTGCTGCTGTGGAACAAAGACCAGCAAACTGGCTTATGTGGTAGACCAAGCCAAGGTCTTGGACCCCTTAGCCTATCTCTCAAGCCCACTGAGGTCAACCATGACTAACTTTAACACCACAAAGGTTTTGAAGTTCTTGGGAGAGATCACCGAAGGGATTTGCAGAAAATCTAGTTCAGAATTAATCCCAGGACCCACTCAAAAGGTCTCATGAGGAACATCCTAAATCTAGGAGTAGTACAATATTTTCATCAATAACCCTGATGCAAGTAAGTGTACGATTGTGAAGAAGTTACAAGCTGAGTCACCCCTTCAGAAGTGGGAGCTTAGAGCTCAATAACTACGGCAATGATATGTCTACAGCATTTCCGATGTGCCAGGCACTGTTCCAAGAGCATTCGCATGTATTAACTCATGTAATCCTCACAACCAGCCCGAGGAAGTGGAACACTCATTTTACAGATGAGGAAACTGAAACTTTGAGAAGTTAATGAACATATCCATCTAGGTAGAAGTGGTCAGATACCCAGAGAATAAAATTGTAACAGGATTAATTCAGAGAAGGAAGAACAAAGAGCAGAGATGAAATCTGGTGGCAGAAGTAAGGATAGTAAGAAATAAAATGCCTAGTAGTCCCGTGTTAGTTTTCTAGGGCTGCCATCACATATTACTATAAGCTTAAAACAATAGAAATTGAGGGTTGTCATGAGGATTAAATGAAATATATTTGTAAATCATTTAGAACGGTGGTTAGCATATGGTAAGCATTATATACGTTCTCCATAAAATCAATAAATGAAAATAAAGGTCCACGTGCTCTTCCTCATCACAAAGAATTCTGTTTGCACCCATAGATTTATTCATTCAAAGATTGTTCACTGAGGGCCCCTCTGTGCCAGGCACCCCTCTAAGAGCTGGGGAATAAGGCAGTGAACATAACACACACAAGTTACATTCTCCCAGGGGAGACAGAAAACATAGGAATGGACAACTAGAATGATAGATCATGCCTGGTAAGTGCCATGGGGAATAATAAAACAGCCTAAAAGGATTGGGCATTACCAATGGTGGACCTGGGTAGGCTGGACTGAAGCAGGAAGCTGCAATTTTAAATAGAATGTTCAGGAAAGGCCTCACTGAGAAGCACCTTCTGAGAGAAGACCTGGGTGGGCTCAGTGCCGGGGGGACTCTGGGGAAAGAGCATCCTTGGGAGCAGGAACAGAGAGTGCAAAGGCACAGTGGCTCCTGGTGTCTGGAGCTCAGTGGCTGTTTCGGATTAGCTGACTGTGAATGGGCACGGTATGTTGAATTTTCATTAATTCCATTTGTTCTATTTGCAATTAGAACCTCTTAACCTTGATGTACAATTTCCCCCCAAAATGATTAGAGACTGATACTTTGATTGTGAATTTAGAGCCTCAACAGTTTTTAGAATTCATGTTCAATGCTGGCTATAGTGGAATGCAAATGCAGTGGCTTGGACTCGTGGTGCTGCGGCTGAACAATCACCCTGGTGCTGGGATGCTCGGGAAGTGGGGCAGCGGGAACCACCCTCGTAGCTCTGCGGCTGCACTCTAAGACTAACCAATAGATCTGGTGCTTGGCAGCCAAAAGGGAATGCAGAGATAGCTGAGGTGCTTAGCAGAGGGGAACCAAACTAATAAAAGAACTGGACAATAAACCCAGAGGGGACATCTAGGAACTGAGCATGCAGTTATTTAGTTTGAAGAAGGGGGGCTGTGTTCAGAGCAGGGGGCCTGAAGAATGGCTCTTCTATTTACAACACACCCAACAGGAATCTCGAGTCACTGTGATAAGGGACACAAAACTTGTGGCCTTCCTATGAACAAATGCGCTACATGTGAAGAAGAAAAACAGTTATAGAATCTAGGTGGTTGGTGTATGGGTGATCACTGTATAATCCTTTCAACTATACTGTATGTTTGGAAAATTGCCTAATAAAGTATTAGAAAATTTAAAAAAAAAAAAAGAAGGGATGCTTCTATGTTCTTACCTACTTCCGAGAATAAATTGAAAGAAAACAGGCTTAACTTACAGCACGACAACTTCAAGGACATTTATGAGAAAGGGCTTCCGTGTAGGAAGGCTTGTTAAACACTGCAGATTGTGTGAGCTGGCCCAGTCTCTGAAATTACTGAAATGAAGAAGCAGACGAAAGGCCGGGTATGGTGGCTCACACCTGTAATCCTAGCACTCTGGGAGGCCTAGGCGGGTGGATTGCTCAAGGTCAGGAGTTCCAAACCAGCCTGAGCAAGAGCGAGACCCTGCCTCTACTAAAAATAGAAATTAATTGGTCAACTAAAAATATATAGAAAAAATTAGCCTGGCATGGTGGCAAATGCCTGTAGTCCAAGCTACTTGGGAGGCTGAGGCAGAAGGATCACTTGAGCCCAGGAGTTTGAGGTTGCTGTGAGCTAGGCTGATGCCATGGCACTCTAGCCTAGGCAAGAGAGTGAGACTGTCTAAAAAAAAGAGCATACAAAAGAAAGTCCTTCACCTGTAACTCAGAACTATGTCATCATGAAGCAAATTTATTGTTTAAATAAAATGAGAATTACAAAAAAAAAAATAGCTTAGCTGATGTCTCTCTAGAATTGTGCCTAGCAGCAAAAAAATCTGGGTATGTTTTCTGAGAACAGAGCTTACTTGATTTCTACCAAATCCCCATACATCTCAGTCGTACAACTATGCATTTCTCATTTAAACATTTTGAGTTTAAAGTCATTTATGCCCCTCATTATTGTGTTTTTAAGTATCCATTGGGTAGTGACTGTCCAATACAGTGTTTTTTCCTTCTCTGGCATGGCCTGGGACAGAGAGATGGCCCCCATGGGCATATTTGTGCCGTGTGGCCCTGCTCAGGATTAATCCCAGCTGAGCCAGTGATTCTTCTCTGCCTCTTCAGCCATGGCTGGGGCATAGGTGTGGGAAGGGATGCCCCAACCCAAACAAAGCCAATTATTGGACGTTTTGAAGTGAAACTAAGAGAAATGAAGAAATCCTTCTCTGATGCTTGACTATAGGTCAAGCATCCTATAGTCATGAGGTCCCATGAGGTCACCAGCTTCAGTCATCTGTATTCCTTCCAAGTGAAAGAAGCTCATCTTCAGGAGAAGAGAATAAAGCTAAAATGCATAGCAAAGCAGAAATTAGAGACAGAAAGAAAGAACAGCATTCCTGACCCTGATTCCAGCTGCCGCTAATGTCCAACTCTGTGCTTTGTGAGATGCTCTGGTATTTCCTCCAGTAATACCTGTCTTTTTTCTGAGTTATTAATAGTTTGAGTTTTGTCTTTGTCCCTGTGATCAAAAGATGATAAACAGCAGATTCTAGAGTCAGATCCCATAACTTATAAGCTGTGTGGTTTTGGACCACTTTAAAATATTTTAAAAAAATTTTTTTTTTTTTTTTAGAGACAGGGTCTTGCTATGTCATCCAGGCTGGTATGCAGTGACTATTCATAAGTGCAATCACAGCTTACTGCAGCCTCAAACTCCTGGGCTCAAGTGGTCCTCTCACCTCAGCCTCCTGCATAGCTGGGAATATAGGTGTGAGCCACTATGCCTGGCTTGGGCCACTATTAAAAATCTTTAAGCCTCAATTTTCTCATATATAAATTGGTGATAATATTAGAATCCTCCCATAAGCTTCTTGGGAGAGATGTGGAGATAAATCGCATAACGCACTTAGTGTTATACAGTGCCAGGAACAAATTAGGTGCTCAATAAATGTTAACTATTCTTAACATGTATGGCACTAAAAATCAAGTCATGCATGCCATTGTCTGCTGTTGTATTTGTTTCCTTCAGGCTAAGGTAGAGTTTCTCTCTCCTGCTCTCATTCCCACGTCTTCTACGCGGCTCTGTGTGCTGAATTCATCTTCCCTACAGTACTTCCTTTCTAGCAGAAAAACACCCTTCATTTTTTAATCACTAGCTAAAACTCTTTCATGAAAAACTAACCATAACTCAACGGTGACAATTGTTTTTCCAAACTCCACTAGCAAGCGGAAAGGAATTTGCCAGGAGCCTTCAACTTAGATTTTATTTGTTACAGGATTCCGTTATGTGCCTATCCATCTAAGATGGATTTTATTTAAATCTAATCACCATAAATATTTATTAATAAATATTTATAAATTCAACCAGTCAGGTTGAGTTGATTTCCCCCCAAGACATTTATATTGCCTCATATGTTCATTCTCTATACCTCACTTTAATCCAAAATGACATTCTTTTGATTCTTGCAATGTCAGTTTTAAGGAAATGTTTATTGTGTGTACTTTAGAGAAACAATAGAAATGATAAAGTTCACTGTCTTCAATTTGCAAGCATTATTGTTACTGATTTATCAAATGAATATTGGGTGCCTACAGGGTTCCAGGCACTGCTCTAGGTGCTGGGTATACAAGGGTTAAGACACAAGGTGAACGCCAGCATAGGGAGGCACGGCCCTGAGAGTCACGGCAGCACAGAGGAGGGGCCTGCCTCAGTCGAGCTGGGGTGAAGGGCAGAGCATTAGACAAGGGATATTAGGCAGAGAGCTTCCCAGACACCAGAACCCCCACTCCAGCACCTCACATTCGCACCACAGACAAGTAGACCCCATGATCCAGAGGAGACCACAGCAGGTCACCTCCAGCCAGCTCTGTGCTCTCCGAGTCACCAAGCCTAGGTACTAATCACCACTCTGAGCATTACAAGACTGCTCTTCTAAAATGGGACAGAGACAGTTCATACTTTTTGGCTTTTAAAGACCTATCCCATTTCTTCTCCCTTGAATGTCATCTACCAGGGAAACTAAACTCTGTTTTAGATTAAATCTGCTACTTATTAGCCGGGCATGGTGGTCCGTGCCTATAGTCCCAGCTACTAGGGAGGCTGAGGCAGGAGGATTGCTTGAGCCCAGGAGTTAGAGGTTGCTGTGAGCTAGGCTGACGCCACGGCACTCACTCTAGCCTGGGCAACAGAGTGAGACTCTGTCTCAGATAAATAAATAAATAAATAAATAAATAAATAAATCCGCTACTTGACAGTAAAACTTTTCTACTCATCTCTCAATCATTGGTCTCTTAGTCTTCATTTTATTCTTTACCCAGGTACCATGGGGAAAACAGCATTCTAGCTGGAAAGAACAGCCCGTGCACAGGCGTGAGGCGTGAAGGAATAACTAGCATCACAGGGAGAGAGTGGGCAGTGGTGAGTGATGGGAGACACAGGCCGGAGCCAGGCCATGAAAGTGTTTGGGTTTTCTGGGCACAAAATTTGCAACTTGAGAAATAAAATTAAGCCCTTTCTGTAGGTAAAACAGAGTGCCTTGTGTGAACACAGGACAGAAAATGATTTAAAGGACTTGTTTCCTCGGTCTGTCCAGTGATGGTCAGAGAACCATCCCACATGCATAGGAGAGGAGTGAATTCACTCTGTCCCATGGGTGCCTTAGGCCATTGGGCTTAAAACCCTCAGGGAACCCTGAGAACAAGGCTGAGAGGCTAACCGAGGAGCCACTGTGTTTATTGAAGATATATGTCATTTTATTGAATGAAATGAATTCTGTAAATGCAATCAGAGAGCAAGGTGCCTCTTCAGACCCACTGTGTGCCACTGGTATTTCTTTGCCGTTGGATGGAATCTCAGGCAGATAACATTTTCAATAACATCTTCAGTCACTTTTAGGTTTCTGAAAGTTTTCTGAGCACTCTTAATCCCATGAACAGTCTCATTTCAGTATTTTAAATACCTTCTACAACACAAAGTACAAACCATAAGAGAAAAAATAATTGACAAGACAAATAAAATTAAACATGTTCATCAAAAGATACCATTAAGAAAATGAAAAGGGCAGGCACAGACTGGGAGAAAATATTAGTAACATCCAGACGGCATACTATTAAATAAGAAAACAAACAACTCCAAAAATTTGGGCAAAATATTTCAACAGACACTTCACAAAAGAAAATGTACAAATAGCCAAAATACACATGATAATGCTCATCATTAGTTATCAGAAAAGTATCAATTCAAACTACAATGAGATACTACTATACACCTACTAGAATTGCTAAAATTTGAAAGTCTGACATTATCAAAAATGTCAAGGATATGGACTACCTGGCATCTTCACACATTACTGATGGGTATGTAAAATGGTATAACCACTAAGGAACAATAGTTTGGCAATTTTTTGTAAAGATAAACATACATCTACCATACAACCCAGCACTTTCACTACTAAGTAATAACTTATGAGAAACAAAAATATGTATGTTCTACGATGTTCTTAGCTTTATTAATAATAGCCCAAATCCAGAAATAACTCAAATGTCCATCATAAGTGAATGAAAAACAAACTATGGTATATCCGTTTAATAGCGCACCACTTAGCAATAAAAACACACCATTGGCTGGGTGCGGTGGTGGCCCATGCCTGTAATGCCAGCACTTTGGGAGGCTGAGCTGGGAGGATCCTTTGAGGCCAGGAGTTCAAGGCTGCAGTGAGATATGACCACACCACTGCACTCCAGCCTGGGCAACAGAAGAGAAACCCTGTCTCAAAAAATAAAATATAAAATAAAATAAAATGTTCAAAAAAACCAAAACAAACTATTGACACACACAGCAACATGGATAAATTTCAAAAAGATTATATTGAGTGAAAGAAGCTAGACACAAGAGAGTACATGAGTCCATACATACAAAACTCTAGAAAATGCAAACTAATCTACAGTGGCAGAAGGCAGAAAAGTGATTACTTGGGACTGGGGCAGGGGAAAGGGGGAATGGCTGTTATAGTGCATGAGGGAACGTCTGTAGATAATGGAAATATTTTATGTGGTATACATTTGTCAAAACTTATTGAACTGAACACTTAAAATGGATATAGTTCATTGTACGTAAGCTATACGGCAATAAAGGTGATTTTAAAAACATTCTATCTAGCTGGGTGCAGTGGCTTATGCCTATAATCCCAGCTCCTTGGGAGGCTGAGGTGGGAAGATCTCTGGAGGCCAGGAGTTCAAGGCCAGCCTGGGTGATATAGGGAGACCCCATCTCAAAAAGAAAAATAAAATTCCATTCAGTGTAATAATAACAACTCCAACATTTTATCTGATTTAGAGCTTCTATGCTTTCATCCTGGAAACCTGAAGTGGGAGTAGAGGGAAGGTTGACTTTTTCTCTTTCTTCTAGATTCTATTAATACTTGCTCCTCCTGTAACTTGTGAGGTTGGCCTAAGGAGGAGAATTAGAGGAAAACAGTCATGGTCTTTGAGTGATATGATAGGACCGTATATAACAGGACGTTTGTATACTCTGGACTTGGTGGAAATCTGAAGCTGGCCATTGTCTCCTGGAAAGCTTCTGGGTCCTCGGAGGTGTCCGGGCTGTGACTCTCTCAGCTGTGAAATACCTGTGATGTGGCCACCGTGTCTCTGCCTGACAGCAAACCCCAGCGCCGAGTCATCCAGGGGCCTACCTCACAGACTCTTCGCCCTCAGGAGAGACCCAATCCCTCCTCCATGCAGCCCCCCTGGGCAAGGCTCTCACCTCAGGAGAGGTCTGCTTGGCCTGATGGAAAACCCTGCATTCTTGTCCCCACAACTGGGGGACAGCAGTGACCTCCCACACAGGCGTCTTCCTCTCTCTCTGCTCTCACACCACTCTGCTTTTCTAACCTGTGGGTTGGCCATCAGGCTGTCTCAGTGGTCCTGTTGCTTTCTCCTTTGTCGCCTGGTGAGAAGGAAGCACCCGTTCCCTCTGCCGTGTGCCAGGGGGACAGAAGAGATCACACAAAAAAGCCAAAGAAACCTCAAGCTGGGAAGTGGGCTTTGGGTCTTGAAAGAGTGACCGGCCATCCCTTAGTAAGTCCTCCATGGTGGACGGACTGTGCTTTGAAATACGAGAGTAAATGACTTCTGCTAATTTTTTCTCGACCTCTGGGGCCTCAGTTTACATTGACACAGAAATGTTCCCTTTTAGCATTCTAATTACTTGAATATGATTTGTGACTATAAATGCCTATAAATAAATTTCTCACACTTCCATGAAAATATTGCCAAATACTCTGAAATTTAAAATTATCATATTTGGGACATGGTGACAGATCCTTAATTAGAGTTATCTTGCTATAGAATTTTCTTCTCCTAAGTAGCGTGTTTTAAAAGCATGATTTGAATTTCTAATATTGGATTTTTTTTTAGAGTACAGAAAATATACAATTTTGTGGCAAGAGGATTACATTAGAAGCTATTGAGTTTTTCGTTTTGGGAAAGTGCTAATAAATGTAATATCCTGTTTCAGCAGCTCTGACAATTTGTGCTGTCTTTAGGCCAGCGTCCCCATGCAGGTAAAGTTTGTTTTTTTCATTCTTTCCCCTCTGGTTATTCTTAAGGTCTGGAAGAGCAGGTTCTTTTGATATGAAGAGAGGGTGTGGCTCTAATTCAGTCAGAGGATGCAGAATAAAGGTGCAGGCTTGGGAAAAGCTTCCCCTTTCGGGAACTTGGCAGCAGGGACAATACTTGAAAAGCAGCCCTCAGGTGCCCTCGGCTGGCATCTTAATCCTGTGTAATTCTAGAAGATTCTGCTCTGGGCTGTCCCTTGCACCCCAACAAGAACTCCTTCCTTAGCGACAAAGCATGAGAACCAGGCCCTTCCAGCTCCTTTTACAGGCATTGTGAGGATGAAATGGTTCAAAGTTTTAAGGATTCACCTGAGGTTGAAATACTATTTCCTAGAAAGTCTGTTAAACACTCTCTATATTTCTTCTGCTTTTCTTTAAAGCATGAAATTCTAAAGGCATTCACATCCCATCTTTAATCTCTAGTTCAGCTTAGCCTCACTGAATCTCACGGCATGGCTGGGCCAGACGTCACCTAAGAGATGGTTACGATGCATAAATAAACCCAGCCCCGAGGAGGTGAAGGAACCCCGTTCCCACGACTCAGACCACACCCCAGACTCTCCCTCAGGCTTTCCCGGCCTCAGCACTACAGATATTTGGGACAGACAATTCTGTGCTGTGGGTGCATGGTTATTAGTAGCAGCGTCCCCGGCCTCTCCCCGCTAGATACCAGTAGGGTTCCCCTCACCCCAGTGTGACAACCAAAAATGTCTCCAGTCCTGGCCACATGTCTTCTGGGGGGCAAATTCACCCCTGGTTGAGAACCACGGGTCTAGCAATTCCCCCAACCCCCTGTCCACAGGAGTGGTCAGTTGTAAGAACAAGAGCCGTCTGCGGGAATGCGCCTTGCTTAGTCCACTCCGCCCAGTCAGCTGCCCACTGAACCCAGTCTTCCTTATCAAGCCCCTACTCAAGGGGATGGGGATATTCACACCTAACGGGTACGGTGTGCACCGTCTAGGGGATGGACACGCTTGAAGCTCTGACTCTCATGGGGCAAAGGCAATATATGTAACCTAAACATTTGTACCCCTGAAATAATGATTAAAAAAAAAAAAACCTCCTCAGGGAGAGATAATCCCAGTTAACTAGCCCCCAGGAATCATGAAGTCATCTTCTGGTTTCACAATCGTCCCCATGGAATGTCCTGTGGCTATGTCCTGTCTCTCCAGCTCCTTCCTGGGCTCCCTGAGAGTAGAGGTGGACCCTCCCTGACTGGTATGGTTTATCCCAGGACTGTTCCTACTGCTGGGGACAGTGCTGGGGACAAGGCAGAAATGAGACACTGGAGAATTTGTTCTCTCTCTCTCCCCCTCCATGTGTGCGCACCAAGGAAAGGCTACGTAAGCACACAGCAAGAAGGCAGCCGTCTGCAAACCAGGAAGTGAGCCCTCACCAGGAACCAACCATGCTGGCACCCTGACCTTGGATTTCCAGCCTCCACAACTATGGGAAAACAAATTTCTGTCGTTGAAGCCACCAAGTCTGTGGTATTTTGTTATGGCAGCCCAGGCAGACAAAGACATTCCCTCTCCCCCAGAAGCTAGAATCCCTGCCCGAAAGACACTTGGCTCACTCATGCACTTCAGGAAGCTCATCTCCCTGCAGCTCGGCCCTCCCCCATCACAGACTTTACATTGTTGAAAAGTGCTACGTTGTTCTTCACCCTGACTCTCCCATTGAAGCCCTATGAGAGAGGTAATATTGTTATTAATATCTCCACTTCCCAGGTGAGGAAGTCAAAGCTCAGAGAAGTTAACAAACTTGCCCAGCTTAGGACCGATCTAACTGGAGAAGCTGGAACTAGAACACAGGCCTGCAAGGCTCCTATGATCGTCTGTCTTATCTATACTTGCAAGGGGATCCTGCTCCACATGTTTTTGCTTTTGTTCCTGATGGCTGGCCTTCTAGCTTGTTCCTTCATTAGGTGCTGCTATGGTTGGATATTTGATCGCTGTAAAGTTCTCCAGTGGTGAAAGAAACAGAGAAAGAAAGAGCAGGGACAAACAACATGGCTTTATTATGCACTCCTGGACAAGGTTCTTGGGTCCCAAGAGAGGGGGACCCAAGAAGTCACATCCGTTTGAAGGGGGTGAGGACTTTTATACCGTTTGGGCTGGGCTAGGGACTTTTAGCAGCAAGAGTTGGGGATTTTCCATTGTGACCTTGGGTGGTCATTGAGAAATAGGAGGGGCTGATGGTATTTGTGGAACCCAGGAGCCAAAACATTCTTATCTGGGAGGACATCTGGGTGTGGTTCTTCTCAGCAGGGCCTGGCAGTTGTCCTTGGCGAGTCTGGTCTTGTGAGCCTTTTCTTTCTGATCTAGGGAGGGGAGGGGGCCCACCACCAGCCTTACAATCCCCAGTGTTGGAGGTGGGGCCTCATGTAGGTTGTCTGGGTTAGGGGGTTAATCTCTCATGAATGGCGTGGTACCATCCTCATGGAGGTGAGCGAGTTCTCACTCTCAGCTCCTGAGAGAACTGGCTGTTGAAAAGAGGCTGGCACCTCCTCCGCCCTCTCTGTTGCTTCCTTCTCACCATGTGATCTCTGCACACGCGGATTCCCTTCACCTCGAGCCATGAGTGGAAACAGCCTGCAGCCCTGGCCAGCAGCAGAAGCTGGCACTGCACTTCTTGCACAGCCTGCAGAGCTGTGCGCCACATAAACCTCTTTCTTTATAAATCACCCAGCCTCAGGTCTTTCCTTATAGTAACACAGATGCACGAAGGCAAGTACCCCAGGCTCTTCCTTACTCATAGGCAAAGCCCCTACACTCCAGGCCTTCTCTCTTGGCTGAGCTGCCTACACACTGGTGCAAACGCAGACACACTGACCTGGCGTCTTGGGTCCAGCCCACCCTCTCATGGGCGCGTCACCCTCTGCCCGTCCCTGCGCAATAACGCTTTGGGCTATTGTCTGCTTGGTTCTCAGGTTCAGCTGTGCTCCAGAAACTGGTCCCACATCATCCTTCTCCCTTTGTCTCAAACAGATTTCTGGACAAGAATGCCCCAGCCCTTGGGTGTAGGTCAGGTTCCCACGCCTGTGCTCAGAGCTGGGGCCTCAGACATGGTCAGGTTGCTGCCCAACCTTAGTCCCTCTCTTAAAGCATCGCTGCTCTACCTCTCAGCAGGGGTCTCTTTCCTCTGCTTCACATAATATGCGCCCTCAAGGAACATTTATCATCCAGCTGGGGCATTAGGGCCTTGTCATGGGGAGTGGGAAACAATGCAATTGTTAGATCATACAGGCAAGTCTGAGGACTGAGTAGCAGCCCGTGCGTCCTGCCCAGTGGCCCGCAGACCACAGAGGCTGTGTTTCCAGAGGAGAGAGAGGTGGCTCCACAGTGGCCGGGCAGGAGAGGCCCTGGAGGAAGTGGACTGTGGCAGGGCCAGGCAGTGGGGCAAGGATCTGAGGCCAGACCCACTAGGCCAGACCCATCCCCTTCCCATTCATCCACCCATCCACTCATTCATTCATTCTTTTATTCATTTGTCAAATCTTTATTATGTTCCAGGTGCTATGATAGGTGCTAGAGATATAGCAATGAATGAGCTCCCTGAGGAAATCAGACAATGAACAAGTTAGATCCTGGGATGGCGGCTCTGGAGGAACCACCAGGGTGACAGGATAGGAAGCCCCAGGGGAGGCCAGCTTGTGCGAGAAGGAAAGGCATTTGAGGAGGTGGGGAGAGCAGAGCAGGTGGGGAAGGAACAGTGGGTGCCATAGCCCCCAGGTGGGGAAGCACATTTCGAGACTGAGGAACAAAAGGGAGACCAATGGGGCTGAAGAAGTGACAGTATCATTTTTTTTATCATTTGAACTATGAATTAAATTATTCTGAACCACCTCATAGATTTAGGAGAAAGCCACAAAATCACAAAATGAACCATTCTATATTTGGTTGCATCCTAAATACTGGAAATAAACTCTTGATTCTCTGGGCTACATACTATTTATAGATTAGGAAACCGAGTCACAGACCACATGTCACCCAAGGTCACAGGGCTGAGAAGAGGGGGAGGCAGACTCCAGGGTGGCGCTCAGTGGTGACAACACACACCTCTCAGGACCTTTTTCTCCGAGGAGCAGTCTGTAGGCAGGTGCAGCAAGGAGCCTGTTGGACCCCAGCCTTTTCACCTGCCATTTCCAAGCTCTGCAATCTCCAAAAACACCCAGTGTCTGCAGATCCAGTGGCATCTGGCTGCAGCCTCAGGAGGTGATCACTGGAACTGTTCCCTACCCAACCCTGTGACCAGCGCCCATGGGGCCTCCAGAGCCATCTGCTTTCCCTGGCCTGCCTTGTGCAGGCTTCCTGGAGAGCACCGTGGTCCGTGCTAACAGCCGGCGCTCAACCCCACCTGTGCTGTGGGACCCGGGCAACTCACTGGCCTGCCACGGGCCTCAGTTTCCTCCTCTGCAAAATGGATTTAGTAATGTTATCTGCCTCAAAGAGTTGTTAGGAAAATACATAAATTAGTTCTCAGAACAGTGCCAGACTCATTAGCTAAGAGTTAGCTCTTGTTGCTGTTATTACACGATTATAAATACTCACTCCCCTGAGCTCCTCGTCTTCAGCCCCACTCCCTTCCCTGCACCCCTGGGGGGCTCAGAGACAAGTGGGCAGGGCTCACTCTGGGGCTCTTTGTGACACTTGTGACAAGCAGACAGGCACATCACTTTGAGGGCAGGGGCTTCCCCAGCACTCAGGACAATGCCTGGGGCAAGTAGGCACTCATATATTTGCAGAATGAATGAATGAATGGAGTGCTCTGTCAGATGCCCAAAGGCAGTGGACTGGTTTGTTAGTATTTTCTTTTGTTTCCTCTTTTTATTTCATCATATTATGGGGGTACAAATGTTGTTAAGGTTACATATATTTCCCTTGCCATCCCTCCCCCACCCCAGCGTGTCAGAGATTCAAGCGTGTCCATCCTCCAGGTGGTGTGCATCACACTCACTATGTAAGTATACACCCGTCCCGTCCTCCCCCCTCCACCTGCCCAACACCCGATAAACGTTTTTTGTTTTGTTATTTTTGTCTTGACATTTTAGTTACGTTTTATATCTTTGTTTCTTGCTTAGAAGGGTTAGAGGTATGCCCTTCCCCTCCACAGTGCTCACCACATCCCTAAGATGCGGGTCTCCCCCTCTCCCGAATCCCTGGTGACACTACCACCATTTGAGCACTATAGTTTTAATCAGTACCAATATGATGGCGAGTACATGTGGAGCCCATTTTCCTGATCTTGTGTCGCCTCACTTTGGATAACGGGCTTAAGCTTAATCCAGGATAGCATAAACGGTGCTAGCTCGCTGTCGTTTCTTAGAATTGAGTAATATTCCACTGTGAGCAAATACCAAATTTTGATTATCCACTCATGAATGGTTTGTTAGTATTTTCCTCAAGGGATTCTTTTTTATATTTCTAGGTGAGATTGCAACACTGAACAGTTGCCGTTCACGGGTTGTACACCCGGACAGCTGCGTCTCAGGACCAGGGACTCCCGGCTCTGCCGCTGGCCCGGCCCGGCCCAGCCTGATTAGCCGCGTGACCCGAAGCTGTGGAGAGCCTTGTTTTCTCTGACAAGAATACTAACGCCCTCCTCCTAGGGGTATGGCAGGAATTAATGAGATGGCATGTGCAATGTGCCATGACCTTCACAAAAGAAAGCCTTACATCACTGTAAAGCAAAATTATAAAAAATGTACCAAGAATGGGTGGCGTTAATGGGTCTCTAATTTATTGAAGACAAATCATGCGGCATGTTTAGTTAGCTTCACAGAGGCCAAGTTACAATGCTAGCCTTTAACTCTCCGAAGAGAAAGCAAATGCATTTTATTCCCTGCAGTTTTCAAACAGAGAGTGAAAATATCTGTCCTTGTCACCACACCAGCTTATAGAAAACTCACTTGCATACTGTATTCTGAGAGTCTGGCTTGGTGTAGAAGAGAACTCCAGGGCTGCAATGTTTGTCCAGTTACCCATATAGATTTGGCAATAAAGTCTCATAATTAAAGATAGTCCTCCTCCTAGACAGGCATCCTGGACACAGCGCCAGACGCCTGCCCCTGCCCTGAGTGCTGCAGGAGGGCCATGATCCCACAAAGAAGGTGTTAATTTTCTAAACACCTCTTTAAAGACCCTCAGGTATCAATCCACCTTTCCCCATGAGACTGCAGCTTCCGTTTGCTTGCAAATTCAGCCATATGAAAAAAATCTTGTCATTATGTTTAAGCAGTGATGCAAGCCCCCTGTTCAAATGAGCAGAGTCCAGAATCACTGTTTCAGAATGAAGCGAAAGGCAGTGCAGTATGGGCTCAATGACCCCAACGCATGCCTTGATACAGCATCTGCCACGGTAGGCTCAGAGAAGGGAAGCAAATAGGTGACAAGAAGGGGAAAAAAGTTAGGAAAATAAGTCTGGGAGATTTTGAATTAAACATTCTGATTGCAGGATTTCTCAAAACCTTTAATGCATTGATGTGCATTTTGAATCTCTTAACCCTTTGCACTCGCTTGCTTTTTTCTTTATTCCTTTATTCTACTCAGGATTTAATTTTTTAAATATCCCAGATTTTACAAAGCGCAGCAGTATAATAAAAAACTGGAATTTCTTTTCATACAAACTTTTTTATTTCGATTTTTTAATATTTCAAATTATTGATACATTCAAAGAGTAATTTTAATATCTATAATTTTTCATGGTGTGATATTTTTTGAAACATTCACCCACATGAAGACCTGGTTTACATTAACATGTTTCACAACTATAAATCGTCTTTCTTCTTCCTCCTTTGATTTTTCTGTTAGAACAAACAACACAATCTGCGTTTTTTGTTAGGGTGAGGTGTGATTATATGGAGTTTTCCATCTAAACATTGCTCTAAGTTAGTGGATAATAACCTACCCCTGGAAGTTAGTGTACCATCTCTGCACTTACATTTTACTTGTCCTTTCATGCTAATGAAAACAAGAAAAGATACCGGAAAAATAGACAAAAATACCCCTTCCCTCCGCGGTGAAACTACGTGTCGAGTGTGGCTCAACATACGAGCTGCTACCTACCAATGCTAACCGTGTCGAGTCACACTCGACATCCCAGTACAGAGAGTTAAGAGGTTATAATATGCATGTCTCAAATGTCTTTGATCAGAAATCATATTTTATTATCCTTTGCCTCAAAGCCAACATCTCAGGGAACTAGAAACGCTGTTTCTTAGCTAGCGTAACAAGCTTTCCCACAAAACAGGCATCTTTACCCTGTATCCACTGCAAAATAAATATTACTCCTGTTTCCCTAGGAGCACAGGAGGCAGCCAGAAGGCACTAGAGCCTTTATTGTGACTCATGATATTCTCTTCAGTTTTGGTTTTTTTTTTAATGGTTTGTCCTCTTAGACAAAAGCCATACCAGGGATTAATCTTTAGCAAGTGGAGTAATTAGTTGTTGACAAGTGGCTCTCCTATAAGTCCACATAAATCCACGGAGTTTTGTGGGTGGGGTCCAGGGTGGTGCAGGCGCACTTGAAATGCCAAGGCATTATGGAACCTACAGCCTACACATATCACCACTGTGTTAGCTGAACTGCGTCTGTAACACAGGGCCAGCCTGACATCCCAGTTGGTCCCTTGGGTCTCAAGTTTTACAGAGGCTGTCAAGGCAAAATCTGTCTTCCTTAAGGCAGAAGACAAAGTGTCCTCTTAAGGTGACTTGATTTGGTAGAGACTGCCAATTGTTTGCCCGCCATCCACTCTCCTTTCATCCATATTCTAGAATCTGATTTTTAAGTAGGCCTAGGAATGCCCAGATAAAGACTTTATTTCCTGGGTTCCCTTGCAGCTATCTGTGGCCATGAGACTATATTTTGGCCAATGAGATGTACAGGAAAATACTGAGTGACAACATCAGGGAAACCCTGTCTTATGACAGCTGGCAGGAGCCTTTTGTTCCCACTGCCCACTTTCTGCAAGCCATTTCCCTTCCTGCCAGCTAGAACGTGGAAAACAGCTGGTACCTGCATAGCCGCGGTAGCTGCTGGGGTGGAAGCTAGTTGCTAAAGACACCCAAAGACTCAAACAACAAGACAGTTGGAACCTGAGACCCTGAAACGTTTATGAACTGGACTGTTCACTTCTGGGTTCCTTTTACCTGAGAGAAATACCTTTCACTCTTGATTAAGCTATTGCTGTGGGTTTTCTGTCACCGCTGAGTTAAGTCTTCACTAATACAATAGATTGCACTTACAATTTTTCTTGCTGGGAAATAGTTTTAAACTTAAAGAAAAGTGGCAGGAATAGCATGGAGAACTCTGGTATACCCTTCATTCAGATTTACCAATGGTTAACATTTTGCCATGTTTGCTTTCTTGTTCTGAATCTCTCTCTTTTTCCCTACACACACACACACACACACACACACACACACACACACACACACAATTCTGAACCATTTTAAAGGGAACTGCGTACATCACGCCCCTTCACTCTTACAAACTTTAACGTGTATTTCCTAAAAACAAGGACAAGAGTTCCCACATAACCACAGTTAATAAACCCAGGGATTCCAGCCTTGATTTAACACTGGTACCAAACCTGTAGTTCATATTTTGACTTCACCAATTGTCCCAATAATGCCTTTTCCAGTCTCGGACCCACTCGGGCCACACCCTTATTTGTTGTGTCTCAGATATCACTTTTTAAGGGAGTGTTTTGTTACAAAAAAAAAAAACATCATACTGTTTGCATAGGTAGCCTCTTGCCACTTTGACCTCTTAATCTTCAAAATTCATGAATGTGCCTTTCTCCTGATGTCCGGCTCCATCCAGGTCCCTAATAAGCACAGCAGCTTTTTGCCACACCCGCCCCTCCCCGTGCTGCTCCTTAGCCCTGCTCCCGGAGCCTGGTCCATCCCAGCCACGGTGAAGGCCACGGTCGTACAGTGCTAGATTCTCACCCACACGGCAGCTCGAGAGTGGAGAATACATAACCTGTTGTATGTATTCTCATACATGTTGTATACCATTTCTAATAATTGCTTGAGGGAATCCATACCCTGGAAAAAAACTGCACCTGCTGTTGGCAAAGAGGTGGGAACTTGAATCATTTAAACCTGTCCAATGTGAGCAGACACTAAACAGTTGCTTGCGTTTTGTTCAAATACAGTGGCCAATCGCTATCTTGCCATGTGTTTGATGAAGGTGACTTAGGAGATATGACTTATTCATCCTTGAGAGTGTATTTTCATCTTATCTGTCTTTGCAGCAAGAACTGGTTTTGCTGGGGGCTGTTAACTCATGCGCTGCAGGGCTCTCTGCAGTGTTGTTGAGCTTACTCTCCAGACAGTAGTCCATTGCTTGCATTTCTTTTCTTGAGACAAGAGTCTCACTTTGTTGTCTGGGCTAGAGTGCCATGGCATCAGCCTAGCTCACAGCAACCTCAAACTCCTAGCTCACAGCAACCTCAAACTCCTGGGCTCAAGCACTCCTCCTGCCTCAGCCTTCCGAGTAGCTGGGACTATAGGCATGTGACACCATGCCTGGCTAATTTTTTCTCTATATATTTTTAGTTGGCCAATTAATTTCTTTCTATTTTTAGTAGAGACGGGGTCTCGCTCTTGCTCAGACTGGTCTCGAACTCCTGAGCTCAAACAATCCACCTGCCTTGGCCTCCAAGAGTGCTAGGATTACAGGCGTGAGCCACCGCGCCCGGCCTGCTTGTGTTTCACAATGAAGAGAAACGTAATTGTTTTAACTGATGAAATTAATTGAGAGGAATAGAGGGGATATTGCTAAAATCACCACCCTACTCTCAGGAAACGGTCCTGGAGGCACCTGGTGCGGGAGGGCGGTGGGTTACAAGCCCTGCTCCTTCGCACACCTGGGGGGCCTGCCCAGGAGCCCCCTCCACACCTAAGGGCAACCCCACCTGTCCTGGAAGGTACTTATATCCCTTCTCTCTCTGTTCAACTTCAGTCTCAGCCCTAATTCTGGGGTCTCGCCCTGAGAACGGAAAGAATAGGGGAGGGGGCGGGAAGGTCAGGCTTCCAGCGCTTCCAGGGAGGGCCGGGTCTCTGCACGCTGCTGCCGCATCTTCCCACTGCAGTGCCATCAATTTAGAGTCACCAGCAGCATTAGGGGAGAGGAATGAAACCACAGGCAGTGCAGGGGTTTCCGATGAGAATGCAGGGGTCATTCGGATGACAGCCCAGTAACTCCAGGCCTTCAAGGCTAGCTGGGGCTCAGCAGCAGGCACTTTAGGCAGCATTACAGGTGTGGCATGTTGGGGTGATTAGGGGCAGCCTAGTTAAGAGTGGAAACCGACTTCCAGCCAAGCTGGTCTGGAAGGGTGAGGGGAGAGGCATGGTGGAGCACGAGGGTGCTCCCACCCGGGGGTCCAGAGCTTCTGGTTCTGTCCCTCCAGTGGCCACCTTGAGAATGTGGCTCCTGCCTTTCTTTCTCAGGGCTCTGCATCTCAGTGCTCCGCCTTCCGTGCCCTTCCAGGCCCCCTCCCCAACCCCTAAGCCTGTGTCTGTGCTGCACAAATGCAGGGAGGGAGATTAGAGAGCCTGTAGCCAGACCTGAATGAAGAGTGTCGCTTTGCCCTCCGGCCACTTCCCCACGCCTTCACTGGTAAGGGAGTTTTAACAACCTGGCTAAATCTGAGGTCACAAACGCGAGAGCAATCCTTTTTCACTGTGCTCAGGTTAAAATCTATTGTCCTCCCAAGCCCCTGGGCATGTGGCCCCAAGGAGCCCTCCATTCACTCACTGTGCTGATTTCTCTGGCTCTAACTCGCCAAAGTCCTTCTTGTGTCCTTCCTGCCTGGAAGTCTCCTCTCCACATCTTCGCTGCTGAGGTCTCCAAATG